CTCTTCATGTGTTGTGTTTTTTTTACCCCTTTTCACTTGGGAAGAAAAAAAGAAAACCTGAGCTGCCGAAACCCGGGATCGAACCAGGGACCTTTAGATCTTCAGTCTAACGCTCTCCCAACTGAGCTATTTCGGCGGCCGGTGCTACTGCGCTCTGCTCGGCTCCTCCTGGTCGTGCTGCCAGCCCTGGGTGCTCCGCCTGGGGATCGATGCGGGGAGTGCAGGATCAGCTGGGACGCATGCCTGCTAGGCTCGCAGGCACCCACTCCTTCTCGTCCTTCAAGGCCACCGCCTCCGAGGACGACCTCCCCGATCACGCATCCCAGCACGACCCCAACCCCCTACTGCTTACTGTTAGCTTAGATATTGATTTTCCTTGTCCATTCTCTGTCTGCCCAGTTAAAATGACAGACCCCTGAGGGTCAATTTTTTATCCTTCAAGGTCTAGAACAGTACCTGGCACGTAGTAGGTGCTTAATAAATACCTTTTGAATTAATGAACAAATGAATGAATGAACAAACGGTAGGTACCTGGCTCAGAACTCCACTTTCTCAAGCTCTCTTCTTTGTGATAGGAACAAGGTCATCCTATGGGTGCAACTCCCCAAGCAGCCTAAGGTGTGACAGGGATGCTGACCAGCCAAGGCGTGTGGAGGACACATTGGCCGGATTGTGATTTCCTCGGGGCAGTGAGTGACTCAGATCCAGCCTCCAAGCATGGCCGCCATACCTGTGGCACCTGCTCAGCTTCAAGGCATGAAGAAGTCAACAGGTTGTCGTCCAGGTTTGGGGCTCTCTGCTTCCCCTCCTTTGGGGAAATGGAAGGGGAGCGATGTCTGGGAGAGGATGTGAAGTGGGGAGGCTTCATGATGAAGTCATTTAATAAGTGTTTTTGCTAAGCACCTAATGATCCCCTGGCCCAGTCACAAATACACTAACCAGATATTCCGTATAATAACAATGCTCAGAAGCAAAATAAACCAAGGCTGTTTGTACATAGGCTTTTCCTTTTGCATCCTTTCCCTAAAGGCAAAATTTCATGCATGGGATCATCGAGTTAGTTGGTGGAATGTACAGCTTTCCAGGCGCTTTCTGAATGGGCTGAAGCCATTTACACTCCCATCCACCCCTTCCATTCCTTTCTTCCCTAAACGAGTCTTGATCTTTTTTTTAAGTAATTTTTTTAAATTGAGGGGAAATTCACAAAATATAAAAATAACCATTTCAAAGTAAACAATTTGGTAGCATTTAGTACATTGACAATGCTGCGCAACCCCTACCTCTGTAGTTCTTTAAAAACCATTTAAGTGTATCATTTTGGTAAAAATCGAATAAGGAACAAAGGAAGGAAAGAAGAGAAGAAGGAAGGAAGGAAGGAAGGAAGGAAGGAAGGAGAGAGGGAGGGAGAAAAATAAAATTCAAACAGTGCAAACAGGTACAGAATGGAAGGTGAGAGCGGTTCCCACCAATGCCAGTCCTGCCTTCCAGAGGTAACCAGTGTCCCAAGAAGACTGTGATTGATGCAACCGTGGGCAAGTTTCGGAGCTGCTCTCTCGGCGTGCACTTCCTCACCTGGCTGACATGACCACATAGCCCCTGCCGGTATCACAGGAGTGCACACCTGTGCTTGTCAATGCCCCCGTGCATGGTAAGAGCTATAGAGTTACTAGCTATTATCGTTACTGTAATGCCCGTCAGAACTAGAAATAACACAGTCACAATATACACATATTTTATACGTTAAGAGGGAACCTATGGAGTACCCCGTAGCATGCTCCTCTAACGCCTAAGAAGAATGCCAGGAAAATCTGTTTTACTGTTAAAACGATTGATTGGCCTCCCCGTCGGGGAATCGAACCCCGGTCTCCCGCGTGACAGGCGGGGATACTCACCACTATACTAACGAGGACGCGCTGTGTTGAGGTTTGTCTGGTTCAATTCATATAGACATAGCGCTGTCCTGCCACTGCACCTGTCCGTTCCCCTCGGGTTTTTATGGATGAAGCGCCTGGTGCCTCTGGCCGATGGACTTTCCTGGGCGCAAAGAGGCCTCTCGGAATCGATGAGACACTGAACCTCTGCGAGGGAAGAAACGCACAAAAGGGACGAAGATGTGCCTTCCAATATCCTCATTCCGAGAAGAAGCTGTTGGCAGTGAGGGGATGTAGCTCAGTGGTAGAGCGCATGCTTTGCATGTATGAGGCCCCGGGTTCAATCCCCGGCATCTCCACTTTTTCTTGCTTAAAATCAGTCGCCCCACTGGAGGGCAAAGCAGGAAGGGAGACCCAGATGCTACCAATTAGTGGGTCTGAGAAATAAGCTCCCATGGCGGGGCAGCGCTAGGGAACCTCCCTGGCCAGCTCCCATATGAGGATGCTCAGATGACTCCATCCCCCTTGGAGATTCCGGTTGAACAGAGGTAGGCCCAGGAATCTGCATTTTTACACTCCTAGTTATTCGAGCTGTCAGGCAGTGATTTTTTTCTCCTTTAAATTTAATTAATTAATTAATTATTTAAAAGATTTTATTTATTTATTTGAGAGAGAATGAGAGCACGAGAGGGGAGAGGGTCAGAGGGAGAAGAAGACCCTCCCCCCCCCCAGCAGGGAGCCCGATGTGGGACTCGATCCCAGGACTCCAGGATCATGACCTGAGCCAAAGGCAGTCGCTTAACCAACTGAGCCACCCAGGCGCCCTCTCCTTTAAATTTTAGTTAACATACAGTGAAATATTGGTTTCAGAAGTACAATTCGGTGATTCATCACTTACATTTAACACCCAACGCTCATCATAACCATCCCCCATCTACCCCATCCCCCACCCACCTCCCTCCATCAACCCTGTTTGTTCTCTGTTGTTAAGAGAATCTTCTGGTTTGTTTCCCTCTCTCCTCCTCCCACCCACTTCCCATATGTTCAACTGTTTCCTTTCTTAAATTCCACAGAGGAGTGAGATCATATGGTATTTGTCTTTCTCTGACTTAGTTCACTTAACATAATACACTCTAGCTCCATCCATGTCATTGCAAATGGCAAGATTTCATTCTTTTTAGTGGCTGAGTAATATTCCATGGTACATATATACATCTTCTTTATCCATTCCTCAGCCGGTGGACATTTGGGCTCTCTCCATAGTTTGGGTAATGTTGATAATGCTGCTATAAACATTGGGGTGCATATATCCCTTCAAATCTGTATTTTTGTATCCTTTGGGTAAATACCTAGTAGGCAATTGCTGGATTGTAGGGTAGTTCTGTTTTGAACTTTTGAGGACCCGCCATGCTGTTCTCCAGAGTGGCTGCACCAATTTGCATTCTCACCAACAGTGCAGGAAGATTCCCTTCTCTGCATCCTCACCAACACCTGTTGTTTCTTCTGTTAATTTTAGCCATTCTGACAGATATAAGGTGATTATCTCATTGTGGTTTTGTGTTTCCCCAGTGAGGAGTGATGTTGAGCATCTTGTCATGTGTCTGTTCGTCATCTGGATGTCTTTGGAAAAGTGTCTACTCAGATCCTCTGCCCATTTCTTAACTGGATTTAAGGCAGTGATTTCTAAGGAGGATTTTGCAACTGGCTGTGTATTCAGTGAGTCCTAAGCGCCGAATGCTGGTAATGTGCATGCATTGAGCACCTAATGTGTGCCCAGGTACAGTGCTAATTAAGTATTCTGGTATTCTCGGATAAGACAAGCAAAGTTTGACTTCCAGAGACTTGCATTCAGCGAGTAGTGGTAGGTTTTGCCAACACAGTAACACCGATGGGCTGGAGACCAAAGGGGGAGGGTGTGGGCGCTGCAGTGCAGAGCTGCCAGGGAGGTCTGCAGAAGCAGAGGAAATGCCAGGTGCTAAGGCCTGAGGCTGGGAGGGGGAGGGGGAAGGAGAGGGGGAGGGGCGCTCTGTGTTGAAGGGACAGAAAGCAAGCTCTGTGCCCAGAGTTTGGTGAATGAGGGTATGAGGGGCTTGAATTTTATATCATCAAAGATTCCACAAGGCCTGATGTGAAATGACATGATCAGATATATGTGTTACACGGTTCCCTCTGGCTGCCATGTGGAGAATACACCATAGGCCGGCAGGTGGACGCTGGGAGACCAGCCAGGAAGTCACCACCATGGCCAGGCAGAAGCTGCTGGAGGTCTGCTGGGCAGGGGGTGGGAATCTGAGATCCTGGGTGTGGAGCTGGGGAGCACGAGGGGGCTCTGGACATATTCCGGGGTAGGGCCCACAAAACCTGAAGATGGCTTGAATGTGGGGAGATTAGGGGAGACCTTCTGGTTTGGGGGTACACTGGGGTTAGTGGCCAGTCTGTGGAGAAAGTGAGTAATTTTGGAATGTTAAACATGCACCTCTGTTGTTTTATTTATGTATTTGCATTAATGGACTTTATGCATTTATACTATAATATCAGAACACATTGATTTAGGACAAACACCCGGGTGAAGGAGACGGCATCAAGCCCTACAGGCAAGGCGGACAGCTGGGTGAGCACCAACCCAGGCCAGTTTCCGTATGTGCCTGTGTGTGTGTGGGGGGGGGCGGAGTCCCCCAGACCATGCCCACTCAGAGATCCACTAGACTCGCACACCGTTGTTCTGACAGCTGAGATTTATTAGAGCGACATGCACGGCAAGGGAGCACCACCCTCGCTGGGGAGGGGATGCAAAGGAAGGGCCCATGGGCACCCTCCTGCTCGCCGCCGCTTCGTTCTCCAGCCCTGCTGCTCCGCGAGGGACTAATGTCGCCCCAGAGCGGCATGTGAGGTAAAACCATTCTCTGCCACATAATAAATAGTTATAAAAAAGCTCCCCGGGGTCAGACTGCCCAGGGCAGCAGCAAGCTGTGTCCAGATGTCTTGAATCCAAGATGAGCGAGGGTTTCCAGGGGCCTGACCCACCTCCCGGGAGCAGTACACAGACCAGGGGGACCAGGCTGGAAAGCGGCCACTGCCAGCCCCCATGGTTCCCCAGACCAGCCCCCGGCCTTGCAGCTAGGCCTCAGGTCAGCGGTCAGAGGTGGGGGGCCAGGCTTTCTCGACGTCGGCGTGCATGGCCTGTGGAAGCCACTGGCAGTACTCAGCGAGCAGGTCTGCAGGGGGCAGGAGGGATGACAGTCAGAGTGGCTCTGGACCCGGCTGCCCGCTACAGGGCAGATCCTCCCACCAACCCTCCAATGCCTCAGTGGGTCCCATCCTGTCCACTCGCAACCCCTTGGCCACACTCACATTTGGGGTTTTCCTTCCAAGTAGCTAGCAAGGCCTCTCGGCAGTTGGCTCGCTCAGCAACAAGGGCTCTCAGGAGACTCTCTGTCCTGGGCTGCAGCCTGTGGGTGGGGACGCAGGTTGTAGGGCATCACTGCGTCCAGAAGCTGTGGGAAGGGGCAGGTACCACTACCAGGGCCAGCCTTACCTAGGACGGTGAATGGTCTGCCTCTGTCATGCTAGGGGTGTTGGCCAAAGAGAAGGATCTAGACTCTATCACCCCTCCAACCTCATCTCCTCTTCACACTTGAATCTTTGCTGCCTCTGATCTGCCACCCTGGCTTTCTTCATGGTTCTTGAGTACTCCCACCCAGGCTGCTACTGTACATGCTGCTCATCCCACCTAGAACCTTCCTCCACGTTTCTGCTCACAGCCTTACCCCCTCCCCATCTGCTTGGTCAGACTCCCCTGACCAAACTTACTCCACTGGATGTCCTGCTCTGTCCCTTTGTAGCTCAGGCCCCACATGCCATCTGTCCTAGTTACATTCTCTCTGGTGTTAGCTTCCACAGGGACGGGGCTGTGCTCGCGTCCTAGCACGAGGACATGCCTGGCACAGCGCGGGTGCTCCAGACTGCCTGCTGGGTGAATGACTTGATCGGCAGGGGGCACCTGGCCCCATGCCCCCACCCCGAGTGCCAGGGAACGCTGGTGCATGTGCACGCCTGCCTGCCTCCTCTGGTCAAGCCCCCTGCACCATCTAGGATGCTGCCTTAGGAAGGGGGAAGTGTCTTCTTGGAGCTGGGCCATGGGTAGAAAGAAAGCAGAAGGGAGGGGCAGGGATAGGGAGGAGGTTATTGGGATGGGGGGGGTCTGTGCTCAGCTGGCAGGCGGCCCCCAGGGCTTCTGGTACAGGCTGCCTCCTGCTGAAGCCTGGAGCTCAAAATGGGCTGACCAGGATCTCCCCAAAACCTCAGAATGTGACCTTATTTAGAAAGAGGGTCTTTGCAGATGTAATTACTCAGAAGCTCATATTGGATTGAGGTGAGCCCCACGTCCAGTGACTGGTGTCCTTATAAGAAGAGAAAACCCAGAGACAGGGAAACACAGCCTCCTGAACACAGAGGCAGACATTGGAAGGACGTGGTCACAAGCCCGGATGCACCAGGAGCTGGAAGAGGCAGGAAGGATCCTCCCCTAGAGCTTGCAGAGGGAGCACAGCCCTGCTGACACCCTGACTTCCAACTTCTGGCCTCCAGGGCTGTGAGAAATAAATTTCTGGTGTTCTAAGCCACTTGGTGGTGGTAATTTGTTATGGCCGCCCTGAGGCACTCATACGGCCCCCTTCCCCACCACCTGCCACCCTTGCTCCTGGGGAAGCCTCTACCTGGCCCACGTCTTCAGCATTGTGCTAGGGCTGGACAGCAAACAGCCCCGGTAGGAGGCCAGCTTGTGGAAGACCTGAGGAGAGACAACAGGACAGGGTGAGGGATCCTGGCTCACCTTCTGCCCACGGTTACCAGGCAAGGGGCCGGGGGAGCTGCTGGGCTGCCTACCTGCCCTTCCAGCAGAACCCGGGCGAAGTGCTTGTAACAGTCAATGCCCTCCGGAAAATCCACCTGCACTGCAGGGAGCGGCCAGCCGACACGATCTGGAGGGCAAGAGTCCCTGAGCGAGGGTCTGGGCTGGGTCCCCACAGGTCCCTAGTCCTGACCCTGAGCCCCGGGTCCCACCCAGCAAAGAGGCAGAAAGCCTGAGGTGACACGGCCTGTGACCTCCATTTTCAGGGCCCGTGGTGTGCGACCGTGTGTCTGCTGGCGCCCAAGGCTGGCAGGAAGTCACCCCGACTCACAGAACACACTGGCCCGGTGACAGATTACCCGCCCCTTCTCCGGGCAGTAGGCGGGGGGCGGCTCCTCCAAGGGCTTGTCGAACTGGCAGTAAGAAGGCAGCAGGACCGGGATCCACTGGACCTCCACGGCCGAAACGCCTGGGAACCAGGAAGGGAAGGGCCGGGGGTTGCCGTGGACGTTGCTGCACGGGAGGGGTGCCCAGGTTCTCCCCCAACAGGGTCCCGGTGACACAGCTCACGGAGCCGCAGTGGGTCAGGCGAGGGGCCGGCCACCAGCCTGGCTACCTTTCATGTACATCTTGGTGGTCTCTACAATTTCCTGGTAGACCACAAACTCAGGGAGCTCTTTGAAAAGGACGGAACTGGGGTGGATGAAGACGGGGTCATCAAGGAGAGGGGTCTGCAGAGAGAGGGAGAGTGAGTATGAGTCTAGGAGAGGCGCAAACACCAGTGAGATTAACCCACGCAAATTCCATTAGGCACTCAGCCCGGAGGCGGGAGAGCGTGTGGCCTGGACGCGGACACGCACGTGGGGCGGATCTGTAAGCCGAGCAGCACTGAGCCCTGCAGCCACCGTGCTGACCCAGGTGGCCAGGGATGACCCTGAACGACGCAGTGCCATGTGAGAGAAGCCACACACAAGCTGCTAACGTGAAACATCCAGAACAGACAAATCCATAGAGGCAGAAAGCAGATTCATGGGGTGGGGAGTGAGCAGAAAACGGGGAGCCACTGCTAATGGGCACTGTCGTCTTTTGGGGGAGGACGAAGATGCTCTGAAGCTGATTGTGGGTGTGGCCACACAGCTCCGTGGAGACGGAAAACCACTGAACCGCACACCTGAAAATGGGGAATTGGAGCATATATGATTTCCCTCTCAAATAAGAGGTTCCAAAAACAAAGTTGGGGGCAAAGCTAAGGCCCAAAGGAAGATGTGACTCCACCTCACACCCCACCCTGATCCTTGGTGGGGACTTTCCCAGAGGCTGCAGGGACTCATGTGTGAGGAGGAGGGGGCCCCCAGCAGCCCCTCACCAGGGGGCCTGAGGGCCCAGGCTGGCAGGACTCCAGACAGACGGGGAGGGTGGGGTGGCAGGGAGCCTGGCGCAGCGCCCGGGGCCAACCTTGTAGGCATTCTTCCACTTGTCATCCAGCAGGTCCTCACTCTGTACCCTACGGGCCAGGTGGTCGCCCAGGCCGGCTACCACGATCTGCCGCAGGTAGGTCACCTGGCTTTCAGATGGCGGCTGCATCTTGGGGTCCACGAAAAGCCCGGCCTCAGGGCACACAGTATTGACTGCGGGGAGAGGCAGGTGTGAGGACGGCGGAGCCCGGGGCTGCCTCTGCCCTGACCTTCTGGAAGGCCTCACACCACTCAACGTGCAGCTCCAGACACGGTTGCCGGCTCGCTTTGGCTCCTCTCCACCGAGGCTGCCAGGGGAGGCAAAGCCCTCAGCAGGGCACAGCTAGCTGCCTGCCCCAAATCCACGTCCTTCTCTCCCTTAGGAAAAAACCCCAATTCCTTAGCGGGCAGCAGAGAGAGCTGCTAAGGGAGAACCTGTTGGGCCCGCATGTGACTTCCCCCTTGGCCTGAGCACAGGAGCATGTGTGCCCAGAAGGGACCCGATGAGCGGGTCATCCCCAAGTGTGCCCAGCAAGGCAAGACCGTCTCCTCTGGAGCTTCTGCAGGCACTGCTGAGCCAGGCATGAGATCAGGTGAGGCCTCACCCTTCTGCAGGGGGGTGGAGGAGGAGGGTCTGAAGCTGTGGGGACACCTTGGAAGGCGAGAACGGAGATGGGGCTTTGAGCCCTGCAGCTCAGAGGGGAACGCGGCAGGGAGAAGAACAAGATGCTCAGGACTTAGAAGGAAGACGGTCTCTGTTCCGAGATTTGTTACTTAAACCCCCTCTGTCTTTTCTACAAAACCCTTGGCAAAACATATGTTGTTTAACGTAAAGAAAGAGAAAAAAGGAAAGAAAGAGAAAGGAGGCAGACCCAAGGACAGAACGCAGAAGGCCAGCCGACTTCAATGCCCGCCGGAGGCCCTGCCTCCCGCACCGAGCTTCCCTTAGGTCTGGTCTCCACCGGCTCGGAAAGCGGGGGACTGCACTGTCATCTGCCCCCTGACTCCCAAAAGGGGGCCTCCACTTGGTGCAAGGGGGGAACCCCCGGATGAGACTATGGGGGGCCCAGGGGCTCCTGGGAAGATGCGGGGAGCAGCAGGTCCGGGCCCGCCCTGGGGACACAGGGTGAAGAAGAGGGATGTTAGTAAGGAAGAGACCAAGGAACAGCTCAGGGGAGAGAGGGTGCACCTTACCCCTCCCTTGGCACGCAGGTCCAAGAAGGGGTCAGGCCCGATTCTGGGGTTACAAATAAGTCCCAGTAAGTAGAAGAATTTGTAAATGTGGAAGCCGTGGGTAATGGGGATTAGTGGTATGTCGTTAACGCTGCTCAAGACAACTTTAATCATTAAAATAGTCACGTTCTCTGGCAGGTGTTGCCTGAGATGGGGGGACCTGGGGAGTCCCCACAGGCTGGCGTGGGGGACAGTACCTGCAGTGGTCAGCTGGCCCCGCAGGCGCCGGATCTCCAGCATGGCCTTGTACCGAAGCCCGTTGGTCTCGCAGAACTGGGGCGAGCAGCCAGAGTACTCGCAGGCTCCCACAGCACCTGCGGAGGAGGGGTGCACTCGCCTGCTGCCCCGCCCCAGCCCTGCCTGACCTCCGCCACCCCTCCACGCCGCAGGGGGCACGCACCCAGCAGCACCATGATGTCTCCGAGTTTGAGAGAGGCGCCTTGCCCCGCCCAGATCCTCTTCATCTGGGCCACCCGGGCCCGCTTGTCCTTCAGCTTGGTGAGCTCCTCGTTGCTGGCCGCAGGTCTGCAAACACACACACACACACACACACACACCCCACCCGGGCTACTGGCCTGGCCGCCCTCGGGGCAGAGAAAATGCCTGGGGGAGCCACTGACTAACACGGTTAAGGTCTTGGGCTCAAAATGCACTACCTGCAGCCCAGGAGATTAAAAATGTGTCTCCTAAGCCAACCATTCCACGTCTAGAGACTGATTAACAAAGAAAGAATCCAACAACCAAATAATCATCACACGTGGCTGCACCGCTTTTGTGACAACAAAAAACCCTGAATGCTGCCATTACGGCAACCAACGGCGGCCTGGGTAAGTGAATCACGGTTCCCCAACCTGTAAAGGGCTGACACCGGGGTTAAGGTATGCGTCAGGCATGGTTTGGAGCCCTTAGCTTGTGTTAACTACTTTAACCCTGACAACAACTCCATTATTATTAACGTCTCACCCCCATTTTCCAGATGGGAAAGATGAGGCGCAGAGAGGTGAGGTCGCCACCCTGAAGCCACAGAGCCCGGAGTGGCAGAAGGAGATCTGAACCCAGGTGCTGTGGGCCAGAGCCTGGGCTCCAGAAATGAAGACAGAGCTCTGCAGGGATCACGTCGCTGCTGGGCTCCGGGAGGATGAGCACTCGCACGAGGCCACCCAACGTGCCAGTTATTCCCCCCCCGGGAGGCCGGGCTCCCGATCACCGCTCAGCGCGGGGCAGCCCCCGCCGGCCTGAGCAGGGCCCCCAGTGCTCACCTGTCCAGCTCCTCGAACAGCTCGCGGACTGTCATGGCAGCCACAATTGTGATGGCGTAGGGCAGGCAGCCGTGTTGCCTGCTCAGTGCCAGCATCTTGGCGTAGCGGGGCGCCACGGGGAACATGGCCATGGTCCTGCCCAGCGCAGTGATGGGGCAGCTCAGCCGGGACCTCTGTAGCTGCTTCATGCTGGAGGATAGGGGTGTGTGGTGAGGGGAGGGGTGTCGCAGCTAAGCGGCCCTGGTGTTCAGGGCAGCTCAGGAGGGAGAGGGCCGAGAACGGGCTGGGAGCTGGGCTCTTGGCTCCCCCTACCCCCCCCACCTACCTCTCTGTTTTCTGGGGTGCCTCCAGGGCACCCAGTGCGACCAACAGCTCCTCGGCGGCAATGAGGGCCTCCACGGAGGGAGGGGTTGGAAAGGGGAAGTTGATGACCTGGGCAGGGGGAGACGTGGCGGGGGCAGCATGAACACAGAGAAGAAAGCAGTGACCGCAAGGGGCAGCGCGGCAGGCCTGGCAGGAGGATGGTGCTCCTGCACCTGTCCTGAGACCACTCACAGCCCCAGGCACTCTCCACGTCTGTGAGCCAGGGGAACCCCAAATGTCCCCTTCCTTCCTTTATTCACACGATCCGCGTACTCAAAAGCACGCACTGAGCACCTAACGCGTGCCATGGCTATTCTTGGCCACAGAGACCAAGAAAGCACACAACAAGGGCTATGCCTCAGCCAGAAGGGAGTGAGCACAGAGACAAACAGGGGCAAACATGCCCACACGAGGACATGGTGAGGGGCAGAGGGACCGGGCTCAGGGATGGTGGCACCTGAGAAACTCATCTAGTAAATCCGCATACACCCGTGTTCACAGCCGCTCTGTCCCTAATGGCCGGAGGTGCAGGCAACCCAGGCACCCACTGACAGATGAACGGCTGCACAGAAGATGGCCCGGCCCAGGCCCACGACGGGGCCTGACTCAGCCGGAAAGGACTGAAGTACCGACACATGCCGCATTGGGGGTGACCCCTGAAGACGTTTACAAGAATGATTCCGTTTACGTGAAATGTCCAAAACAGACGGAGCCATAGAGACTTTGGGGCTGGGGAGGAAGGAACGGGAATGACTAGTAATGGGCCCAGGGTCTCGTCTCGCTCTGCCTGCACCACCCCCCCGGGAGCAGC